CAGGCTCTTGAGTGCTTGATGCCAAAATGCTTTCCGACCGAGCCGTGTAAAGCAGGAAGTGCAACTTGGCTCGGCTGGCAAAAATACTTCAGCTCCATGCAGCAAGGGCACATCTCCGAAGTAGTCCTGGAACAGGAGATTGTAGATCCAACCACCTGCAAAGATTCACATGCTACTACGTACTCCGCATTGTCAAGGGCTCGAGGAGTGGGAGCAAAACATGCAACGCGTCTCCGTCTGTGCAGAGTGGTCTTCATGCTCTGCCCTTACAGGGTGCCAGCCTCGGGGCGGGAGCCCGGTCCAGGACTGAAACGTGCGCAGCGATGCCCAAATGAACCTTTCGATCAGACAGAGCCCGGCGAAAGTGGGGTCCTCCCATCCTCCCCAGGTTGTTGTCCAGAGTGCCTGCGGAGCAAAGGCTCGGCAGCAGCCATGCTTGCGCTTGCCCAAGCCTGAGTGAGCAAATCCCGTGCGACAGACCCTGAAGAATTTGTTCCAGGAATTTGTTAAGGAATTCGTGTCAGCACTTTTTTGGAGAGAGTCTTCGAGAGGCCTCCCAAGAAACTAGAACCAACAGCGCCGTGTGAAAAAACACCTCCTTCGCAATATGCGAGCGACAACTCAGCTATGCCAGGGAACACTGGAGCTGCGCCTAAGGCGACCGGCCAGCAAAAGGGGCAACGACAGTGGCACCGCGTGTGGATTCACCTGGCGCGAGCAGTATTGCAAACGTCACAGATCTCTCTGACAGCTCGATACAGCTCGGACAAACTGATGGCACCTGAGAAACAATGGACCACCGCCTCGGCTGATTGAAAATGAGGCACCGCTGAGGGCTTACGGGGGCCTTTTGCAAGCGGAGGGAAGCAGCACACTCGATCAATGCACGCCTCTCACCAAAATACAGCGAGACTTCGGTTCTCGTAGCAAACTTTGCGCGACTGGTGACTAGTGACTAGGTGGTACTATGGCCCAGTACTCCCTCCGCCTCCACCCTCTCCACCTCTGTACCCGGGTTTATGCTCAGAGGTACATGTTCAGCATCTCCGCAAGCTCGTGGCAAGGAGAGTCGGCCATCATCGTCCCGTCGCGCACCAGCGACGCGACACCTCTCAAGGATGCGGACTGCGGAATCTGCGGAGTGCTCGAAGTGCCCTTACTGTGGCCTGGCCTGGCCAAGGTCGCACGCTTCCATCCGGGCCCTTCTCCAGAAGCCGCACGGCCTCGGATCCAGGCGCGGAGCGAAGCGGAGCGAATGAACAACACGATGACCTCTCTCTGGGCCTGCACTAGCATCGGCATTGATGACGAAGCGCAAACTGCCTGGGCTGCGATTGAGGCTATGACTTACACACGAGGGCAGCAGATGTCGCGGATCACGGGCGGTTCACGGGCGGTTCACGACGGTGTTCAGACCGAGTCACCGAGGCAATGAGCATGTTCGGCGCTGTGTGCCTGGCGCCAAGTGCACAGCATTTCGTGTGAGCAGAGGCTGGACATGGCTGGACTGCTAGACCAACAGATGCCTGTTGAGTAGAAGGAGAGGCCCACCGCAAGTCGGCGTGCAAGTGATGGTGAACGTCCTGCAAGATCTAGATGCATCCAAGAGAATGGACCGGCGAAGACAGTCCTGCCCGTTCTCTCGAAGGCCTCTGCAAAGGTCAAGCCCGCGGAGACAAAAGTGGCCTGATTGCGATACCTCGGTGCCGACATCTCCTGAGCCTGCGCATACATGCGCGGAATCAAATTAAATCATGCGTCGCGCAGAAACGTGACAACACCTGCATCTTCTCTCCCCAGATCCACAATGCTTCTGGGTCGCTGGTTCATGTAGTCGTAGATGTAGCCTGTCAAATCTGCTCGGAATATCAAGCTCCACAAACAATCGAAGAGTTGCAACAAGGGCTGCCAGGCTCTGTAGTGTAAGTTGGGGGCACATTGCTTGCAAGTCTGGTGCGTGCTACATGTTGCTCGACTACCTTGTCCTTCCAAGGCTGCGGCCTGTGGTCTTTCGTGCAGCTTGCCGGGTTCAGACGGCTTGTCAGAGTTTCACACTGAGCCCCAGAGCTCTTCCGGACGTAATCCCCTACGTGCTTGCCGCTCGCCTTCTCACACCCGACAGCTTCAACACATCTTAGCATGGACATCCACACAAGAAAATTCTCCAGCCTCGGACACAAAACCCCAAGCATTCGGCACAGACAGAACTTATCTGAAAGCCAAGTTGCCACGCCAAAGCACTCGAACCACAACCTGGACGAGGCAGGCTCGACCAGTACGCAAGCGTGACGCTTATCGTGATGCTTCCGCCCAGCCTCCCAGTACGGGACGGGAAAAGGTCCCTCTTCAGGCCCCATCTGCCTGTACCACTCCTTCACTCAGCCCAGGCAACTTCTTTAAACGCTGACCGCGGCTGGAAACTGTTAGGCAACTGCGAAGTTCTCAATTCAAACTTGATCTGCACACACTCCCCCTCCCTCTCGTTCCAGGCATGAAGCAAGTCTCTACGGCAGTCGTAACAGTAGGCAGAGCATTCTATTGAACCAACATTAACATGCAAAGCCGGATTGCATGCTATTGCGCTTCAGGTCTGTCTCTTTCTCTGTCCTCCTCCTTATCTGATGGGTGAGGGATCAAAAACAAAAAAAGTCAAGCAACTAATGCTCGTTTCCGGCGGGGTTTGGGGGATCGTAGCGATCAAAGTCAATATGGTAGTTAGTCGTTAGTACATATACTGTATACGGTGCGTATATTATGCAAATGAAGTCCACAAACATCAGTCGTCACGGTCGTCACTGCCGTCGTCGTCAGCAGCAGTAAGAATATTTAGTTCGTCCCTCCCTCCCTCCCTCCCTCCCTCCCTCCCTCCCTTCTTCCTTCCTTTCTTCCGTTCAGTTCCTTTTTTTAGCACATGCCTCGCAGCTCGAAGCGCCCATGGCAACGCACGAGCTCATGCTGGCGCACTGGCGCTACCCCGTGGCGAACACTGCGGTTGGACCCACAGCCCTGGAAGTCGCCATCACACGCCGGATGCCACATGCTACAGTTATACATACATGGGATGGCTTCTTGGGGCGGCGGAAAAATCGGTAACCAGAACGATTGAATCAGGAACCAGAACGGCTGAATCGGAAACCAGCCATGACTCGGAAACTAGAACGGCTGATTCGGAAACCACGATGGCTGATTCGGAAACTAGAACGGCTGATTCGGAAACCAGACGCATCCTTCAGAAACCAGAAGCCGTGATTGGGGAACGCTTGCCAGGAACATTGCGGGCCCAAGGGCCGGGCAGGGCTAAAATCTCAACGCTTCAATAGACTGTACGAGCTTAATAAAGTTACAGGCGTAGTTCGGCCGTACGATATAGTACGTGTTAGACCATGGACGCTCTGTGCTCAGAACGCATTAGACCGTGGACGGTATCATTGCTCCCCCCCATGGATGCTCCCTTGTCAGATAGCAGCAGACCACGGACCTTACCATGCTTGGGCCATGGATGCTCTCTTGTCAGAATGCATCAGACCATGGACGTTATCATGGCCGGGCACTGAATGCTTTGTGCTCCGAACGCATTAGACCATGGATGTCATCATGGCTGGGTCATGGATGCGATCTTTCAAACTTCAGTTTCTGTATGCGCCTCCTGTTTCTGATAAGCCGGTTTCTGATGTGCGCTGGTTTTTGATGCGCAGTTTCTGATGGGCGCTGGTTTTTGATGAGCTGTTTCTGATGCGGGGTGGTTTCTGATGCAGAGTGATTTCTGATGCGCAGTTTCTGATGTAAAGCCCAGTCTCTGATTTTGCAATGGATCGGGCTTATTGCAACCATCCTTGCACTCTGCTCTTACTAGAACCCTAACCGACCCTAACCCCTTAACCCAGAAGCCCTCAAGCCCCAAACCCTAAACCCCAAAGCCGTAAAGCCCCAAAGCCTAAATCCTTAAATTAAACCCCTATAGACTCTAGACCCAGGCTGCGTCTTGGTCTGATCCGCTCCAGCGGAATTCCGGGCTTTTGGGGTTTGGGCTTTAGGGGTCAGGGATCTATCATTTTACCTACTGTCGGGGGCTAGGGTAAGCACTCTTATGGGTTTAGGGTTTAGGGGTCCTACCTTACCCTTACCTGCACAGCACCCCGGCACTTGCGTGGCCCTCTTTGACCCGCGCATGAAGTCCCCGGCAGGTTCAGAGTTTAGGCGCACCGCTTTAAGAGCTTGGGGCTTGCTCGTTTTTTGGTGACAAAGCAAGCGCCAGAATTTGTTGATCCCTGTCCCCTCCTCAAGATTGTTGAACTCTTCCCTGAGCTCGTTGTCTGTTCGCGTGGCGACGAAGGCCCCGACGATGGAACCAACCTCGACTTGATTTTGCGGATGAGTTTTCGGTGGGTTCAGCCTCCAACCAACAAACGCATGTGACCAACACTATTATACTCAGGCAGCTGGTGCCCAATTCCCCAAACAATAGTCAAGCAATCTTCAGGTCAGCAAGCACCAGCATAGAAGATCTGGGCCCTAGCTCAAGAGATGCATACCTCGGGTCGGATAAGGCCGCTGGTACAGCAGGGACAGCCCACTACCCCGAGGCCACGCCAACTTACCTGGGTTCCAGCCTAGGTCCTACCCACATGGTGGGGGCTTCTGGAACTTTCAAAATGCAACTGGGCCAGATCGTACCACTTAAAACTCAAACAAACCCTAAGGGCCCAGTTCCACCTGCAGCCTAGTGCTCAGAAAGTGCATTTTCGTGGTCATATGCAGAACTTCGGGGTTCAAGATTACAACGTTTAATGTTCAGGGTTTGGGGGGTTCCCTTCCGCCGGGCCGCAGAGGTTCCGCAAAGATTGTCTGGAAGCAAGCCGTCGTCCAGAAGCTGACGAACCGTGCCTCACTTGCATGGATCCCAATTTGGCGTGGCGATGGGTATGAGACTCTAGCGATGAACTGACTGATGCTCAACTGTAAGCTACTCGACCTGTTTGGCTGAAAGAGGCCAATGGCTTGCTTTGCGAAAGCTAGTCGACGAGTTGGTCAATGAGCAAGTCCGGCACTTCGTCAGGTCGTGACTCAGTGACTGGGGGGCGAGTAGGGTTCAGTAGGCAGCTTGTTCACTCCTAAATCAGTTTGCTTCTTCTTCTGTTCAGCTGTAGGCCGCTAATGGTACAACTATATATCAAGCCAAGCCTGTCCGCTTGCTACGTAAGTGCTTGATGAACCCGGCACACCCGGTCGGGGAAGTCGTCACTGGTTCTTACGATCCACGCTTTCTCTTTGCCCATGTCTTGTCACTGCAACTGTGCACCTTCGAGTGTGATTGCGCTTGCACCACACCACCAATATTGCAGTGGGAGCAGTATTGTATTCAGCAGCCAGGCTCGGAAATCTGTATTTCCCCTAACATCGCGACGACTGCCACCAGCATATTATCAAATTGGTACAGATTTCGGGTCTCGAGCTCAACTATCATGGTTGCGACCGCGAGACGCGAGTTCAAAGCCAGGCGCAGTTTAGTTCTCAGGCCTACAAATGCCTCTCAGGGTTCCGGAAACCTTGAAGTGTCCCTCGAAAGCATACGTCTATGCCGGTTGTACTTCTTCTGTTCGGTCGGCGTGCTTGGCATACAGAGTGGGCGCATGCATAGTTGTTACGAGTCGTCAAGGAATCGAATATCTAAAACAGGGCCGGTTCTAATAGTCCGCAGCTTCCAATGTAAGAGACACCCAGATTGCAGAAAACGGTATGCATCCAGCAGGCCTAGGTGGTACATCCCAAGCATGCCACCGCCAGAAAGATAAAGGCAGCTCTCGCCAAAGGATGCACTCATGGCTTTCAAAGCCTTAGTTGGCAAACGATCTGTCAAGTGGCAAACCGCAAACCACTCTTGCCCCTGATCTTCTCCGAGTTCACACTCGCAACCAACCACGGTACCAAAGCTCCGAAGTTGCAGATTACAGACATAGTGACATTGGTCGCACATTCATCGCATTCCTCTTGCTGAGGGGCTTGAGAGGATGTGCTGCTACAGGATATAGTCTGCAGCGTCGTGCAGACCTCCAAAAGCTGCCAAGCTTGGGCTCCCGGAGATCTCGAAGCTCAAAGAGTCGCTCTGAGAAGCGACCGACTTCATCCAGTATTACCAGAAGTACTCTTCTTCCTACCATCCCTCTCAGGTTTTTCCTTGTTCTCCTACTCTTCTGATAAAAAAAACTTCTGACTGTGATACTTCTACTAATTGGGACTTTCCGAAAATAGGGGGGCTTGGGGTCCTTATAAAGAGGATCCTGCTACTTAGGGTACTACATCAGGGTCCCCTATGTTCGGAATCCCCCCAATTTGTGTCAAGGAAAACCCCCCGGGAGGAGGAGCTCGGCCCGGCCTCCTCGGCGAGTTCCTCGGCTTCCAGCTCGTCGCTGTCCTCTGCCATTGACTAGACGAGACTAGACTATGATATAATAGCTAATGTAGAGCTTAATTATAATGTACTATGATATAATAGCTAATATAGAGTTTAATAGAGTATAATGTAGATGGTGTAGAATATCATCTGGCAGGGGCACCACATGTCTTGCAACCGCATCAGCGCAGACGTCTCTCAGTGCTGGAGGCGCATCCTGAACATCCGTCGTCTGCCTTTACTCTGAAGCCAGAAGCCCATTACTATGCTAGAATATACCATGATATACTATAACATACTATACTATATCTCTAGTATACTATAATATACTATGACCTCCAATCGATCTCCCCTGCTCTCAGGGTGAAAATACTCTTGCCCCCCAATCGGCCTCGTGCAAGGTGCCACACAGATCTGGTGTCAATGCCTGCCGACAGCCAAAGCTCCAACGAAGGTCTCTGTTCTTCAACTTGAGCTGTTTGATGCCCCTTCTTCGATAGCTCAGTTAAATGAATTTAAGACGGCTTTATATGGACGTGTGTGGCCAAGGTCCAGGTGGGACTCGCAACGGAGAAATGGGTGCTGCAGACACCAAAGCTACAAAGCTCATGAAAATTCACAGTCTGCTGCTACGCTCGAGACGGCATCCCAACTCCTGCCTCACGCAGCACGGCAGCCATGCGACGGTGCTCGCCGCCTGCACGTGCAGAGCGGAGCCGCCCAGCTAGGCTGCCGGGGGCCTTAGAGTGCAGGGCCCTGGCAGAACCACTTTCAAGACGAGCTTTGGTGCAGCAGGCTGGCCGGTACTCTCATAATCTTCACCTGTCAAGGCAAGGTTTTCTCAGACAGCGACTGCTGTCCAAACGCGACCGGTGTCTGGTGTCTGTGCTTCAGGCGCCCACAGGATGTCCCAAGCATAAGGCATATGCTTCAGTTCCCAAGATAGTGCACAGGTGCATCATCAGTCCAACATATCTTCAAGTGAGGTTCATCGAATCTCTGCTGTCCGACATCAAGGAATATCTTCGGTGCACGTCCCGTCCTTCTCAGTGCTCGCTGGTGCCGGCGGCCACCATGTCAAGGCTGAGACGGCCGCGGCAAGGACTATAAGCAGCAGGCCATATGCCAAGAGCTCCTTAGAGTCAAGAACGCGAGAGACAGCGGCGAGAAGCAGCACCCCATCACAGCGGCTGGAAGAGTTCCGACATGTTCCGACGTACTTTGCCGAATACCGTCAATTGCTCTTTGACGGATGTCATCATTCGTGTGCTTCGGCTACGGTGCCAGACAATAGCCGCCAAAGGAACGAGCAGGATCAGGGGTGTCAGCACGAGGATGCCCAAGGCAAACTTTGCGACCGCAGAAGGGAGCTTTCCATTCAGCTGGCCGCACAGTGTGGAGGCCTGAATCCTCAGTTTGGGTTTGAGCAGTGCTGAACTCCCTCCCTGCCTTGGCAAGAACCGAGGCACCGCTGCAAGTGAAACATGCATCTACCCCAGAGATGGCTACATTAAGTTCCTGGACACGGCAGAAACGACTCCACTAGGACCGAGCTTCAAGCTATACCTGCCTGGAGCGCAGAGCACAGTGGGATGAGTAGGCTCGATCTGCGACCAAGGCTCATCACTTCGGCCGTCCACGTGCCCAAGGCATGTCAAGTAAGCTTCCACAGCGTGTGGTAGGCAGAATAAATTTGAGCCGGACCCGGGACACGAAACCCCTGTGCACAACTCTTAGACAGCCTTGGCAAGATGAAGCCGTACATTTATTTTTTTTGCGTTAAGCATTCGCGAACTCGAGACGAAATCAAGGCCTTCTGGCAGCACTTGTAGAATGTCGTAGTAGACCGTAAGGGCCTGGCTGTCCACTGCTGCCACTGGCTTGGTGCTATGCC